CTGGTTGATCTCCTGATGATGGGGCAACAGTAGTGGTGTCCGAGAGAGGAAGAGTGGCAGAGGCACTCATGGACTCACTCATACTGAGGGATGGTGTGGTGGTAGTGAATTGACCGTTATTCCACGATTCGTTGTTTCCGTCTGTCAGATTGTCTTTCGTCCCTTTTCCTTTCGCCTCTGTAGCGTATCCACCCACACGTGGCACCGGCAGTGGCATCCTCTCTGCTGCTGCACATGTACAGATGCAGGAGAGTATCAGTAGCAAGGTTAATAATAGAGTTGTGCGCATAGTGATTGTGTAGCTGTGTTGTTCGTGAGAATTCTCTTAAATGATACGTAACATAAGGAGAAAAGAAACATAAACTTATTCATTAAAATGGTGGTTTTTATAAACATCTATTCATGTAATATATACATGATGTGCAGAAAAGAATAACAGTTTCTTTCGTTTTCTTTATGATAATTATCACTAATAATAGTCTGCATTATATATTGTATACGACATTGGAGTTGTTTTTTTTGTTTGTGTTTTTTTTTTATTAAATTTTTGTACACAATATAGTTCTCATTTTACTCGATTATACAATACTTCAACAAAAAGGAGAAAAGTCAATGCCAGAAGTAGTAACAGAATACCACATTAAGTTAATGTTGTTATTGTTGTTGCTAATACTGTAGTAAAGCTCAGCCTAAAGCAGAAGTTGTTTGGTGCAGTTAAAGGTGCCTCCAAGGTTGTGTAATATGATTGTGATGGTAATTGAGATGTACACTGAATAGAAGGTCTCTTATCCATTCAGATAGTAAAGATTAGTGTGTGCAATTCACAAAATGATAATGTGAATAAACTGAGAAATATCATCTTTTTTCTTCCTCTCTCTTTATTGGGTTTTACTTCAATAGACGTTCTGTCATCCTTTGATTGTAGAATATATCCATTATTGTTACAAATAAGTAAATACAAAAGATCCCATTCTTTATCGGGATTTCATGTTTTTTTAAATATTCATTTCTTAATTTAGAGTTTTGTTTTCATATTTTCATTTATAACTTTTTTTCATACAATACAAATTAGTCTACGATAAATAACCACTAGAACTCTCAAAAAGAATCCGTTGAAAAGTTTCGTTTTGTGTATTTTTTATTTGACCTCACTGAACTTCTATTTATTCTTTTGCTTATTAGGGACTTTAATTAAATACGTTTACCTCTGAATCCTTCAGGTCCTGCGTAATCAATGCCAGTCACACTTCATGACGGAGAATTCTCTGATGTTAGTGGAGGTGGTTAACATGGGGATACCTCTATGAGAGAGTGAAGGTATATTGTAGTTCCAATCTAATGCCATCAAAAAGTGGACTAACCATTTAGTAAAAGATAAAAACTTAAAGAAACTCCACATAGCACAAAATGTACACGTTAATGATAAAAAGCAGAATAATTCAATAGCTGCACGATTGTTTTCGTTGCAGGACGCTGTACCGATTTCCGCAGCGTACACGAAAGTTTTGATAAACGTATTGTGATATATTTGTGTAATGTATGGAGTCTTTTTTTCTTACCATGTCAGTTCCATCTCGGCCATACCAATGCCAGAACGTCTCTTCTTTTCACCGCTTTGCTCTGAAAGTATTTGCAAAAGTTTCTTTACAGGAACATCCCTTGTTAACCATAGATCATTCCCATTTGGTTTAAAAAGAAGACATATGTGCATAAATCATCCAGTATACTTTTCATTAAACTATACCAGCAAAACCCCTTGTTTAGGTGAACACTGCACCGCTCAATTCTTTCTTATATACCGACGTAAACATTACACCTTCATCCCATTGCGAAAGAGCAGAACGGTTTTACAAAAAAAAGGAAAAGGAATGCCGCGACCCGGGATCGAACCAGGGACCTTCAGATCTTCAGTCTGACGCTCTCCCAACTGAGCTATCGCGGCTGACGATGAAACACAACTGGAACTACCCCCATAATCTTATTGGAACTCATTTCTTC